ACAACTGCAACAGGCTAATCATTTCATTGGCAGAAAACATTAACATTTTGTGAAGGCCGTCGTCACTTGTGGTGCATGGTCTGCACCCGACACTTTCTCGCTTTTTGAAGGGAGGGTGTCTAGTCTTCTGAGTAAAAGAGCGCATCCATTTACTGTTCCGTAGACATGACTCGGGACTATGAACGCGGCAAACTAATCCATGTGCATATGCAGCTTTCAGCGTAATCGCCAAACCCTGAACCGGCATCGAGACCTATGAACGCTCTTTGACGTTCATGAAAAGATAACAAAGCGATGATCTGATTGAAATGTGCTGTTTATTGCATTTTCGCCGAGGAAATGTTTGGGAATCGGGGCACGTCGGCTAAGTTTTTCTGTATGTCATTCCTTCGATATCGATTCCTCTTGCTGAGGTGGCATAAATACTTTGACAGCTCGACCTTCTTCTATGAAGAGTCCTCTTCAATTACCACCTTTTTTCATTGCTTGTTCGTATTCATTCGTTTTCAGGGCCCTTGCCAAATGGGGTCATGTCGAATCGTGACAACGCTTTAGTCGTTAAGAAGAAGTCGACATCGACTTTCTTGCTAATTATTAAGAAGAGATGGGTGGTGGGGAATTTTTTTTCGGCAGACGTGCCAGCTGTTGGTGCAGTGGTTGCAGTGGATTGGAAGTGCGTTAAATGTGATTTTTTCAAGTTTTTTTTTCAATAAAAAGAACTTGTTTAGGTGTTGTCCGAGTGAGCGGGATACGATTGATATATTCAGCTGGCAATTCCACAAAGAGCCAATGGGAGGCTTCTCAGTGAACGATTCAGATGGGGTAACTAAGGTCTGTTTGATCAGTGGTCTTTTTTATAAAATCATAATCGATAAGGCCTTCATCGAAAGCATAACTTTGTCCAACCAAAAGTAAAGGCCTTTTTTATTCCTAGTGCACCCTTATCGAGAGTAGACACCTTTCTCTTCGGAAGTTCGAAATGCTTCTGTTTAGGGTACTTATAATCCTTCCGAGTGAAGAGTTCAAGTTTTGAGGTTTTTCATAGTGACTTCTCCATTTTTCAGTTCACCGGCATGTTTTATACCACAGGATGTGTTATCCATTGTGGTATACCACTAGAGAACCCAGCAGTTTTCAACAATTTGATTGGGGTGGTTGAAGACAAAGCAAAGGTACTGCAAAAAGGTTATATCGGTGAGTTGATTATGTTTTGATTATGTTTGACGGGAACCAGAGTCAACCATTGCCCATCCTGCTCAAATTTTAGTAGTAGTCGCGGGTAGCCATTCTTCCAGCTTATCTTAAATCTCCAAAACAACGAAGTTTCTACAGAACTTCTACAGAGCTATGCTAGACATTCGCTCATAATCCTGGCAGGAATTCTATAGGTAAAAGCAGACGATTCTTCGGAGGAGCTGCAACTCTTTTGTGTAGGATCATCACCTATGGTATCTAATGGTTGATCGAAAGTATTTCAAGCTTATCCAAGGGCTATTTTGTTGACTAATGGGACTTTAAGATGTGAGAAACCTCAGAGAACACTTTCAAAACGCAGAATTAAATCTCCTAAAACTCTGAAATGAAATAACGTTTTTTCCAAGTATTCTTTCCAAATTCAAGCCTCATAGATAGGTCTGCTATGGCTCTGAAAATAAGATGTAGCTGGTTCTTCCCAGCAATCTCATAGGTACATCGAATTCGGCCGATCTTGAAATGCAGTGCTTGAGACGTAGCATCTCAGCGTACGGTCGAGTGTTGTCCGAGAAAGACTAAACTTTGACTTCTTGCAGTAGCAGTTATTCAGTTAAAAATGATCGGAAAATCGTTGGAATTGATAAAAGCTGAAAGTGGAAACGGAAAGTTTGACTTGGCAGCGAATCGTGACTCTCAAGGCGTTTTCTCGATTCCTGGATGGATTGATTAGGAGAACTAGAACGCTTGATCCCATTACGGTAATAATAATTGGTCCACCACCAGGGGATGTGATTCGCTAGGACAGAAAGGACTCGCTCGCCGCAGCGCGAAACTTTTTGTTGCGGGAGCGCCAGGACCACTCACGATCAGCGCTGGACCTGGGAATTCCGCAGCAAAAAAGTTTCGCGCTGCGGCTAGCGAAAAATTCGCTTTCTGTCTTAGCGAACCACGCGCGGCTGGTTGTACTGTTTTCACAATAAAATTCGTATTGAGATTTGTCCCGCATCTTCTAAAGTTCTGAATATTAAATCTTTTTTGACTGCCGCTCGTGTAATTTATAATTTCAGGAAAGCTGAAAGCTACTGTAACGTTTGTCGGAGAATCCTGATGGTTACCGGTGGACGCTTTGCACAGTGGATGAGTATCATAAGACTGGTAGTGAAGAGGTGGGAGAGCTACTTTCTGGATTTAGTGACACTTCTATATACCAATTCAATTCGGAATATTGCGCCAGTTTTTGCGCTTGAATCTGCGCAGCATTCAGGCAAGTGCAATGCAGTGGGTTTTACTCAATTAACTGCTGAGATTAGGGTTACCTGTTGTTATTTTGCCAAATGAGTCATGATTTCTCTTCCATTCTCAACACTGTACAATGTGATGCAGTGAATGATTTCCAGGACTGGTAAAGGAAAAGTGTAGGAAATTTATATAACCTCCCCTAGTTTGTGATCCAGTTTACTTCGAAACTTCGAGTTGCAGGCGACTATTCCGGCGTCGCGTGATTTCGCTAGTGAAATTGTGCGGTCACTTGGTTCTTTTTATTCATTACAGTTTTTTTTTGTCCGTTGTTCACTGTGAATATAGAGCACATCTCAAGAAACTAGCTGCAATCAGTTCTGCGGGTTGCCAGCCACACTGGTGGCTGTGCTTTTCTGCGACTGCCTGTTTTACCGTGTTCTTCGGTTGGTGTCTGTGGAAACGAGGCGCAGGGCGGAAGTTGATATTTGAAAAGTACGAATCCATCATTGTCGCCTACACACGTGAGGCGGAACGCTGGGCTGACTTATCTCAAAACTGTTCGGAGGCATCTACGTTGGAGAAACCCCGTCGGCAACAGTCGGCAGTGTCCGTCTTCCTATAGCTGGAGCCGTCTTCCATTTACTATCTTACTTACAATTAGACGACATCGAGCAAACTATTGAAACACAAATAGCAGGACTGAAGGAAGCCTTCTTTTTCGCATCCTCTTTGCATTGAGGATAAATCTGATTATTTCATGTCGTTATATGGCTACTAATAATAC